AATCAAACCCCTTAATTTGCGGACACACACACAACCAGGTCACTATGACTCTCCCGTAATGTCCTTCGGACAATTATTATATTTCCAAAAATGTTCTAGAGAGAAGGGGGATATAGTACAAGTATGGCTGTATCACATTACATCTTATCTACTGTTCCAAGTGAATTATTATTTTCAAAGTCTTTTAATATTTTTTATAGAATAATATTAATGAATATGCAACTAAAAATTAAACTTTTTTTAATTTAAATTTTTCTTGTTCTTGAGATTGAGAGAATAAAGTCTGAAGGTCTAAAATTCTACTTCTTTTTTAGGTTAACCGACTTGATCTTTAACCTGAAATGTTTCAACCTAATCCAAAATGAATTTTTGGGTCATGTTCAGTTTGGCTATAATCCAATCCAAACTTGATCTGATTATTTTAATAAAATATTGCTATATTTTTAAAAAAAACATTTTAATCAATATTTTTTTAATAAAACAAGAGTTAATACAGTAGCTGGAAGGTTTTAAAATATATATCTTTATTATGCTATGATGTCTAGCATTGTAATTATTTAAAACAAATTTATTGAAAAAAATGTTAAATATATATAATATTTAAAAAATGCGGTAAAAAAGTTAAACACTGTATTCATCAGTTAAATTTTATTAAGAAAAGAAAAGATATAGTTATTTGCCAAAACCAATTAAAGGTGTAAAACCCCCTAACAAAAGGCCTGAAGCCAAGGATGTGATAATGGGAAAAAGTAAATTCTTCATGAAGAAGTTACAAGCACTGCATGCTTTGTTATATGCCCGACGCCAGAAGGAATGTTTCTTCTCTTTTGTACTTTGTGTAACTGTAACTGAACGAATAGATGTAATAAAATTTAAGATAAAAAATTATAGTTAGAAGGATGCCTACTGTATATTGTAATATAAAGTTGTAATAATCTGAAAGTTTCTTATAGCAAAAAATTTCTCTTACCTCCCGCATAAACTTTATGTAAAAGGTCTTTATAGTAACTGTATTCCTTTGGAGACATGTTTGGAGAGGTATTTGTATACCAATTACTAAGGAGCTGATCATAGGCTCTAAGTTTAGCGAAGTAGTCGGACATTTTGAGATTGTAGTTTAAAATCTAAAAGAAATGATTGAAGTCCAAAAAAATATATTTAATGTTTTATATATTGGTTTTTCAGATAAAAAGTGATGGTGAAACTCATGTATTAAGTTGTAATATTTATTATTCGGAAATTAGGAATGAGTAAGATTACTTTTAGATCAGAATTTGAACCAATATATTTACTTTTATTTTTAGCTGCCATTGAATTTTTAATTCCATATATCTAACAGTGCATGTTTTCCTAGTTTAGAGAAAAAATATCATTTAAAAATCTAAAAGGATGTTAAATTTATAATTTATCGAATCTAATTCTTTGTTTCTATTCGTATAATGTTACACGTTTATGAATGGCTCTATAAAGCGGAATCGGTATAAGTTTATTGAATGACTTGATGTTTTTATTTACGATAATTCTACAAAGAAAAAAGGTAGTTTATCATTTCCAATTAATCTCTATTATGAAAAATTATTCCAGTAAAACTTAATGAAAATAGGTAAATAAAATCATCACTTTACTAAATAAAAGATTAATTTTGGCAATAACGCCTTATAATAATACCATAAAACTAAAAATAAGTACTACTTTTTTAATTAAAGGAGGTGCTTATTCACTAGTTATTTGAAAACAGATAACATGCTAATTCTGCGATTGATCAATCTTGTGATCATCGGGTAACGTAATTTAATGTTTATTTGATGGTGCTTATTTATGGAACATAAAATTTTTATTATGAGGATGCTTATTAACGTAAGTGCCTATTTTCTGGGTTTTACGGTAGTAAAAAATTCCATATAATGCAGTCAATATGTATTAGTAAGATAAATATTATGATTTTTAATTGCTATTCTAGGGAATTACTCACGGTAATTTGCTATTTCCGCCAAGGAATGACTGACATTATTTATCTAACTCAAATTCCGATTATAATCCAAATACTTTCCTACTATTTATTGCTAGTCATTAAAATCATTACATTTGTGTATGGGATGTTACCACCATTTGGATTGCCTTATATAGTTGTGCACGATTTAGCTTTGATGGTTAATGTTTAGTTGATTTACACTATAGAACATAATAACATGATAAAGTATTATAGAAAAGAATGTATATTAATTTTATTAAAAATAAATTCAATAACGTCCATTCTTCTTCACATCAATGAAGAAGGCACGCACTTTTAAACATGCTATCAGTTAAATGAGACATTATTATCGTTAACACACGCCTTGAGACACTACATACACAATCACTATAGATACTGAAAAGATTAAGAGATAGCAAAAAATGCCACAGCATTTAAAGAGACATAATGATAGTTGTCACACAGACAAAAACCATCTTCATAATAATTTAGTTCTAATTCTTCGCCCGGCTTATTTAAATCAAGATTTTGCTACTAATCGAGAAAGTTTATTTAAATTGCTAACATTTGAAAAGAAATAAATTATTACAATATACAAATTAAGTGTCCGTTGAGTTTTTTGACTTAAATCAACTTCAAAACAATAGCTAAACAAATTCAAAGATATGGAAGTACAAATCTAGAAGGTGAGACTAGACATTTATACAAATATAGAAGGATTATCAGAACGCACCCTATTCGAATATACAAATATGGAAATATGAAAGGATTTTAACCAATAATTTAAAATTCAACCCAAATGTTCGTTCGAAGAAAAATTGGTTATATTTCAAAAAAAAAAAAAAAAAAAAAAAAAAATCGCATAATAAGCCTCTTTTGTGTTCTAATAAAACGCTTTCCTTAAGAAAATTTACTATATGTTCTACGTATTTAAATCTAAATCTAATATAAGCTATCCCAACATAAATAGATTAATCCTGCGGGATATTATAATTTCCTTTAAAAAACAAAAAAAACTAGTTTATAGTATTTCAAAAATAAATGAGAATATTAAAATCATCATCACGAATTTCGAAGGCCCATATATTTACGTAATCTCACATAGATTGTGTAATTGTCTGGTATACGTTTATGTAAGTGTAAAGTCACTTAACAAAGCTTCTTTGTGTAGTGTTACTGAAGGTCTGTATAAATATTTGCAAGATATTATATAAAATTCATTTAAGTTTATATAGATTCATGTAATTTCTTACCTAATAATTTTATAAAAAAAAAGTTCTTGTGATAATGTGTATCAAAATTTCGAAACCGATGACCCTATTCATTAATCTGTTTTTAAAATAATTAAATATACATGCCGATAACATCTATAAAAAATTGATAAGCTTTCAATAAAAAAATCTTTAATTTAAATTTATTGGGACATTAAAAAAAAATACTTCCTTATTTGGAAACAAATAGTCATCTGCTTCAATCAAAATTAAGTTCCGCATTTTAATTCTTCAATCCCTCACTTGTTATTATTTATTTTAAATATTGAAATAAGTTATAAATTCCTGTTAATTCGTACGTGGACAATAAAGAGAAGAAACCTAAGTTACCTTTACAGAAATGGACTTATTGGCAGAAATGAAAGAGAACCAGCGTCTATTTGACAATGGTGAAATCAATGAGAGTGAATATAACGAACGTCGAATATTAATACTAGAAAGATCTATCGGTTCAATTGAAACAAAGAAATCTGATTCTGGTGGTAAGGTTAAGGACTATTATGATTGTTTTTTGATGTTATTTCTGTATTTTAATTATTCAAAATCTTGTAGTTGTTAGTAAATCGAAAGATATTAGCTTGTATGAAGTTCTCCAATTAAGTCCAAACGCAACTGATGCAGAAATTAGATCAAGCTACAGGAAACTTGCTTCTAAGTACCATCCTGATAAAAATGGTGGCGTTGAATCTAAAGAGGTACTTTTCCTGACTTTATTTTTACTTTAGTACGCATATTAACCAACACCCTTTACAGTGGAATAAGCTTTTAGAAGCATACAAAATTCTTTCAGATTCGAATAGCCGTTATCTTTATGATAACTGTGGATCAATAAGCAATTGTAAGCTTTAAAATTTTTCTAGTTCTTACTTAATTTATTATACCCTTTGTGATAATTTATATTTTCTATTTGATTTAAGCCTTAGAAACTAAAACATCACTCAACCCCTATGTTGGAGGTGACGCTTGGCAACCTTACATTGGTAACTTAGAAACTGGTCTTTGGATATTCTCATTTACAAGCAATGGCAGCTCTCCTGAATTGGATCTTATGAATACGGCTGAACAAAAAAAACAACGTCGCACCATTCGAATATCCAATATTGTCCGTTATCTACAAGACAAACTTACTCAATTTCCAAAGCAAGACAATACTTCAGAACTCGAATCACATATGGAAAGCCTTCGTCAAGAAGCTTTGAAGCTTTCTAAAGAATCTAATGGCAAAGAGTTGCTATTCTTCTTAGGAGAGATCTATGTGTCTAAGGCTCAGACATATCTAAAATTCTCTACGGTGGACACTAAATTTAGCTTTTTTAACAATTTTAAGTTTTTCGTGGACGTAGTTTCTGGATACTTGGCAGTTAAAACTAAGAATGGTCAGAAAATGAACCAAGATGAGGTATAGCCTATTTATTTTTCTTTATTGAAACTAAATAATTACTAATTTAAAAATTTTAGATAAGTAAAGTAATCTGGAAACTTTCGCGGTCTGAAATATCATCCATCGTCTGTGAATCCTGTGATGAAGTTCTAAATGACAGAACTCATAGTGATTTGGATGGAAGTTATCATCTCGCAAATTCTCTTCTTCAATTAGGCAAATTGTGGTTGGAAGTGAGCAAACAGTAAGCATGTATGCGTTCTCCGATTTCGGATCTAATTTGTGCTACTATTGAAAAGGTCGTATAGGTCTTACAAATATTTGTAATACTTGGTGATTTGTTATTTTTTGTTCGTTGAATTTACAATGGTTTTGAGGTATATAAAGAAGAATGTTGTTAAGAATTAATCTAAATAAATATAAAGAATTAAATACTTTTTATGTAACGATAAATTATATATAATGAAGTTACAAAATAGCTACTGAAAGTTTTACGTGTATAAATGAATACTCCATAGTATTTAGTTCGATATAAAATATGTAAAGAAATTTTAAGCAAACCAATTTTTGTTATTATTTTATGACATTTATTACCGTAGATTCTCAAAATAACGCCCAGGGTAAATTTACAAAATTTGGCCTAAATTAAGCTTATTTCGGGCCAACGCCCATGCCTGCTATTTTGAGAATTTACGGTATGCGTATTTCAATATGTAGTGAATTGCCTCGATTATATAATCCTCGATCATTGATCGATTATCTTGATGATCGAGCACGATGTTATGGGCTCGATCAAAAGTGAGTCAATCAATAATCGATTATGTTGATCGATCAAATGGTTGAAATTTGATCGATCAAGAAAATTTGTACAGTAAATAAAAAAAAAATAAATAGGTATCATTATGGTAGATCACCCAGGTAACCCGTGTAAGATCTACTTATCAACTGGATCATGACTATTGCTACTTGGGTGACTCGGCTACTTAAGTCATTAAAGTGGCTCGGTTTGTTTTTATAACGGATGGAACGCAAGTCAATCTCTACGTAGGCATAATACGTGTATAATCGATCAATGATTAATCCGATAATTGATCGATTATGCATACACGAGCTTATAAATTCCATGCTATACTCAATCAAGCATATATAATTGATTTTTGATCAATCATCGATCAACGATTTTTTTGTCGAGTCAATTTATAGTATAAAAGTTTGACATAATCTCTATTTTCATAATTTATGGTATAAAAGTTTGACATAATCTATATATATATATATATATCTGTTTATATAACAGTAAATTTATTTTATTTACATAATTATAATTAATACATTTACATAATATTTTTTTAATATGATTGAAGTATTTTAATATTAGTATTGTTTGATTCTAATTTAAAACCAATATTATTTAAAATATCTAGACATTTCAGCGTAGAGTTCTTGCAAAGTGCATCAGCTAATGCCTTTCCTCCTTCTGATCCAAGATTATTAAAATGGAGATCTAACGTTGTTAAGGAGGTGTTCTTGCAAAGTGCATCAGCTAATGCTATTCCACCCCAGAGATTTAACGTTGTTAAGGAGGTGTTCTTGCAAAGTGCATCGGCTAATGCTTTTCCTCCTTCGGATCCAAGATTATTATGCCAGAGATTTAACGTTGTTAAGGAAGAGTTCTTGCAAAGTGCATCGGCTAATGCTTTTCCTCCTTCGGATCCAATTTTATTTTCATTGAGATTTAACGTTGTTAAGGAGGTGTTTTTGCAAAGTGCATCAGCTAATGCTTTTCCTCCTTCGGATCCAAGATTATTACCACTGAGATATAACGTTGTTAAGGAGGAGTTCCTGCAAAGTGCATCAGCTAATGCTTTGCCTCCTTCAGATCCAATATCATTATTATCAATCTCTAACGTTGTTAAGGAGGAGTTCTTGCAA